GGGGGGCGTATGGTGACAAAAGCTTCTATGTTTACCTTTCCAATGTCCATAATGCTGTTTTTCCTTCTGCAGTCAGCCTTGCATGCATGCCAGCCAGAGTGCTTCTCAACTCTGCATGCGTGCACATGCAAAAAAGAGTTTAGCTTCATAGCATGATGACTCGCGGACATGCGGTTAGTGTGCCGCGGGTTCAGGCTGTCATCCAAGCGAAAGGGGGCTCAGCGTAGTAAACACAATATTGACATACGAAGGAATGGCCACTGGGCCTTCATTTTGGCACGATAGATCGATACTAAAACCTTGCGATAATCGGCACAGTCCAAAATGTGACATTCGAACACATTCTTATTTTTGAGAGACTCAGCAATCACGGAACTAAAAAAATTCACATGAAAAAAGTGGGAACTGTGATGATGACCATCCTACAAGTAAAAACTATTACCACAAGATGATCCATGTACCATTAATAAACTTACTTTCTCCTTTGAAGGGGAAGCAAGAAGCTTGGTTCCCCTCTGTCTGAGACCATGCAATCCCTCCCTTTCCCTTGCCTCGAGAGCCAAATGACCTCATTGCAATTCGCTACTTCGTTTAGCGGTTTATTCTATCACTAACTTCGCAAATTTGATTGCCAGGATATGTCTAACGAGGAGGAGGATCAGTCACCTTGTGACCTAGAAGCACGTCTCCTACTCAAAAGATCAGTCACGGCTTCTGGGAGATCGACTACTCTTTGCAGCCAGGCTCCATTAGGACTTTAAAAATTCTGGACAAGGTCCTTCCAGTCTTTTCTGGCGTAACCCCATCTGAATCTTGAAGTTTCTCATGGTGGTTAAAAGGTCATTTCTTCATTGGGAATACCCACTAAGAAAAAACAAATCTGAGACCATTTTCTGAGGTGGAAGAATCATTAAGGCATCACTCTGAGTACGGTGGCAGTAAAGGCAAGAGGTTTTTCATCAAATGAATAGCTGATATGTTGTGCTCTCCAAATTTACAAACCATTCGACCAAATTATTTCAACAATTTAGTGCATCGTACCGGAAGTTTGGCCAACCAGAGAATACGTAAATTCCTTAGATATTAATGTTACACACAGATAAATTAGGTGGGAAATTTCCCTTCCATTTCAATATCTGAACGGGAAGAGACCGCCGAGAGTTAATTTCTGGATATAAAAACTCTGCAGAGTCGATGTGGAAGCACTAGATATGACCGAACATTAAATACATTTTTTCGTGAAGAAAAAAATGCTGGACTCACTCAAATGAAAACCCTTAAAAGTCCTTAGGAAATCAAATACGTGGAAGACCATTACGATTTGAATCATCTATGATGTCTGCCCAACGCATAAAAAATACATTTGGATTGGCGCAACGTCCTTCAAATTGATGCTTTTTTTGGCGGGATTATCCACAAAATGCACAACTTTGCATTGGTCAGGTACACTCTGCGCACTCTCGATGCATGTCACCGATCTTGATCCATCGTTTTGGAGCGACCACGTGGTCAGGAATCCTCCACTACATTTTTTAAAAGAGAAAATCTAAGTTCTGCACGTAACAAGAGATTCCGAAGGAATGACAGCCACCTGGACATCGAGCCCCCGCAGCCGGTGCAACCGCTGCTCTCTCTCTCTCTCGCCAGCTGGAAGAAGGCGTGGGAACGACGAGAAAAACAATCATGGGCGTTCACTGAATTTCCTCGTAGACTTTTCAGGGGAGCATACTGCGAGAAGTTCCATGCAGATCTACGTTCAAGAACAATCGAACCAGGAAGAGCACAATCGGAAACGTAGGAAGGGGATCCTGGTTTGTGCATATCTCGTAACAAACTCGCAATGCTCGATCCTAAGTGCAAAAATTTAATATGCAAATCAATTATATACAGTTATACTCGTAATTTATGCGTCAAATGATACGTCAGTTAAGTTACCTAAAGCGTGCGCTTTCGAGGCTCACGCGTTCCGGAATAGTTCTCTAGGGACTTAAGGGTTTTTTTTACTGTGACGTCACTTAGCGCAGCCCGTCACTGTCACGTGACGGGCTGCGCGAATAATCCGACCCCGCGGGTAATTTGGGCACCCTCAAAAATAATGTTTTTTTTTTAAATCTAAAGTACGCAAACGCATGATTTTAAAAATTCGCAACGCCGGAAATAGTCTCTCTGGTCCTCAATTGACTTGCTCCGAGCAAAACTGCCGCGAAAATATAAATGATATAACCAGTGGCCTGAAGGTGCCAAAATTGAACCACTCTTGCACACATCCTCACAGATCGGTCAAGAAGAATTTTGTCCAGAAATACATCCATAAAGATAATATACGGGAGACGTCTGAAAGGTTTCCAGGTGACCAACCTCTGAAAGGGATCTTGTAAAGCGTTCAGGATCATCATTTTTCACTGTACACATACATATGCGCATCTAAAACAATATAATGCATGAAATTGCATCGCAGGCGGAGAAATTCCATGCAAAATGCTACAAAGCATGCGTGCGTTATAGACGTATTGTCAGGAATGGAAATACTGGCTCGCTTCATCTCCTCGTATGCACTGTGCTCTGCACTGTTTTGGCCCACCAGGACCATGGGTGCAAGGTATGGGGAAGGTCATCAATAAAATCTGAATGAAATTATGAAACAGGAGGGAATATCTTCGTATATTGCTAAGTGAAAGTTTTACGAAAATGACTCCAGTGTGAAGACTTTTCGCTCAAAGTCACCGGTCACCTTCTTGCCATACACTGCATGTTTTCCATGTAGTCCCTGAATCTCCCCCCCCCCCCCCCCACACCCCTCCACTTGCCTCCTCCGGCTGATGGCTACGAGCTCATTCAGAGACTCGTCGGAAGGTGTGTGGAACCTTTCCCTTCCTTTGAGCGAGCCCGATGAACCGTTTCTCACTCTGCTCATCCACGAGCTGCGAATCCCGACCTGCTCCGGGCTTGTCTTTCTCCCCCTTCATGGAGAAACCTACATTAGTGTCGTCGATAAACTTGCCGATTTTACTCGGAAGGCCTATTTTTTCCAAATGCATGGGATGCAAAATAATTTCATGAAAATTGCCAGACGCAAGGACGAGTCAGCGATTTGCTTACGGCGTTCTGAAGTGCAGCTGAGGAAGAAATCTTGAGAAACAATTTTCGAATGTTCAAAGGATACGTAGAGGTGCGTCTGAAATTAATTTAATAGTTCTAGCTGATGTTTAAAAGGTGTCACAATATTTCAAACAGAGGCGCGCTTTTTTTGGCTCACCCGGTATAACGAAATAAGCATCTGTTGAACCTCACGGATGTTGTTGAAAGTGCATGGACAGAATTACATCATCCTTCACTTTTCTACGTCTTTATGCGGCAAAAACCCCGCGTGCAACAGGTGGTGGCTCATCGGTGGGAAAAACGGCATCGCTGTAGCATGTAGGTAGGGGAAAAACCAGGCCATAAATCGGAAATTCCGAGGAACGGAAGCAGTGGCAGATTATAAGCACTGACCTCTCCGGAGATTCCCTGACTTTCTCTGGCTGAGAGTGCCGCCGTACAAAGCAAAGGAGCAGGAGAGACACCAAGAATGGACCCAGCTACGACGAGGGCGACTGTAGAAGGCTCCACACAAGGTAAAGAAGTAGCAAACTTCTGTCCCTTAAACTTGTCATTTTTAATTTCAGTTCATTGCTGAGTGGGAATGTTGATTATAATAATTCCTTTTTCATTATTAATATTTCGATTTACTCTTCATATCATTTGGCATCTAAAAGGCAAAAATAATCGTCAAGATATACTAAATTCCTTTTGGGATAAAAATCAGAGCTGCCTCACCAAATTCGTCACCAGGAAATAACCGTCCCGACGAGACATAAATACATTGCAATCGACGAAGGTGAATGTCGCCTGGTCCCTGGAAATCGTCTGAAAACGGGCATGTATCCTTACAATCCAGAAGCGACTAAGAAAGCTGGCCAAAATCCAAGGCACGTACCCCAACACCCTAGGTCACCTCATGCTTGAACGCTGTAACAATGCGTGCGACAATGTACAACAGTATTGAAAACATGAAAGAAATGTGCACTACTTTGGTGACATCTCTTTCATCGGTTGAACAAAACACAAGGCGAAACGCTGCGTACTTGCCATGAAAAAAAAAACATGAAAAACTTTCATATTCTGCTTGGTGAAACGTGCAAATAGTAACTTAAAACACCTTTTTATGAAGTTACTGTCATTGAAACTGTGATTGTCATCTGTGATGCACTTTTAATACTTGACTTGCCTTAAACTAGCAAGTTTACCTGAAGTTGTCCTGAATGTGTGTCCTCTTAACCTGAAGTTATATTTTATTTTTATTTTTAGCTTCGTCACACCTGATCTCCCGTCACCCTCAAACGACCACATGAATGCAAAAAAATTAAGTTGATTCTTGAATCTTCCATTTGTCAGGAGTGCTCAAACACTTTGAATTCGAGGTACGAATAAAATAAGACTTTTCTTGGGGGGGGGGGGGTCGTTTGCCTGAACATTTGCTAAATATTACTTCAAGAATAAGACAAAGAAGCAAGGGTTCATAGTCTCCTTTCTGACTCTTGTATTTTAGGCAATCCAAGTCGAGGGATTTCGATGCAACAAATAGAGAAGCTTTACACCCTACCACAGGATTAACGGGAAGGTCAAAGGGGCCAGATTTTTATTCGATCGTACTTTGAACAGCCCTGCTCCGATCGTTTCCAAGTAAAGCAATGAGGAAACGTCGCAGATGTCAGGATAAATGAAGATTTCAATTTGCAATTTTCATTAAATCACTATTAATAATTATCATGTAGCAGGTGGCCATTGGCAGGTGAAGTTGAGGGAGAACTTGCTCATATGCAAGTAACCCTGTCACATGAGACAATATGTGGTTTAGGATATGTGACGTCTTCGCTTTCCCATTTCACCAAGCCCCGCCCCCCAGGAACCGCAATCGCTACAAAATTAAGTATTTATCTTTCCTGCTTTCTGTCCGACAGAGATAATTCAATGGGTGTCAGATAAACCCATACCCGATGGAAGAAGTGCTGGAGTCGATAATGCGAATATCGAGGACATCTTGTGGCAAGTGTCCATCCAGACTCGAGGTGGATTCCATTTCTGCACTGGCTCCATCAAAGACTCAACACATATCATCACTGCTGCCCACTGCTGCTCTGGCCAGTCTGCCAGTAACATCAGGGTACGATTACGATCCACAGCCAACCGCAAGCGTTTCGTTTCCATGCATTATGTGCATCGCTTGCAGTAAACGTTCGCAGTTTAACCGATTAGGTGAGAGCCGGCAGCAACAGCCCAAGCCAAGGGGGAGTCACTAGCAACGTCACCTCCATCAGGATTCATGAGAGCTACAATCCGTGAGTGAATTCCACAAATTGTACTGTTCACATTAGTGGCATTTTTATATTTTTATTTGAGATTTTTGACGATACTTAATTAGTTGTCATCAGTTCATGTCGTTCGCATGTTTCATTTGCTCCTTTTTTAGATTTTATTTTTTATTCTTTTTAAGTTTTTGTTCTCCTTCGTGATGCGAACTGACTTATTGTCAGAAGTATGATAACATCGCTTAACACGTTGACGACCAGCCTATTTTTGCTTGTCCGCCGCGTGGGACCACGTCCTGCCATCAGGACGCATGGTCCCAGAAAACATTTTTTTGCCGAGTTTTTTTAAAATGTTGAATTTTTTGAAATTTTTATCAGTAATCACGAAATCATAATCTTCTGGAACGTTCTCAACAGTTCCAGAGGGTATTCATTGAAAAAAAATCTGCATCCTGGCATCAGNATCAGTAATTACGAAATCATAATCTTCTGGAACGTTCTCAACAGTTCCAGAGGGTATTCATTGAAAAAAAATCTGCATCCTGGCATCAGGACGCATTGTCGCCAACGTGTTAAGCATGCAATCCTCTTAACTACAAGACTCAAAACCTCATTGATTTCGTTCATCGTATTTCCTTGCGACGTCAGTGACGGAGTATATGTAGTCAAACGAATATATGTCATTTTGAACGCAAAAAGAAATGCCAAAAAGAAAAATCCTGACGCCTGAAATCGACGTATTCGCGAAACAAAGTTGGGTTAGAATGTTGAACAACATAAATGCCAAATCCTCCAGTTTGCGTGACGTTGAATACAATGACGGAAGCCGAATCTCTAAGCAAACGCCGTATATGCCGAAAACCTAGATGGATAGATGGCTTTGCAAGATCAAGATTCATTCATGTCCCAAGACAAATATTATTCAACATTTCTTGCCATCGGTGCTGAAATCCAGAGGAAGGGTCGCACAAAACGCGTTATCAATTCCACTTCTGACTTGGAGATGGGAGTCGGCTTGGCAATAAAGAGTTTTTTCCTTTCCTTCCGAAAGTCAACCCATGAATGACATGCGATCTACTCAGGGCCGGATTAAGAAGTTGCGAGGCCCCGGGGCAAGTGAATTCCTGGGGCTAACCCCCCCCCCCCCTACCCCCCTCTACTTTACGCAAATACAATAATTTTTTTTAATCTAACATCTTTAATTTCCTTCGGGGGCCCCCTTGGAAGAGTGGGGCCCGGGGCAACTGCCCCCTTTGCCCCCCCTTAATCCGGCCCGGGATCTACTTTAACCATGTTGGTCAGTCCAATAAGAGGGCTGTTTCAATAGCATCGACACCGTGAACTCTTTGGAGATTCTTCTGAGTGTCATTCCATAAGAAAGGGTGACAATTGTCACATTCTTCTGTGAATACTAAATTGTCAGGAGGTAATTGTGTGAATGTCAAGAACGAGTCCACTCTTCCCAACTCCTGTGGAAAGTAAAGCATCGTGCCATAAATGAGGAAACTTCTACCGCGGCAATCTGAAGGATAGGCAAACTTCTTGTTTGGCATGGGGTGCACACGGAGCAGGGAAACAGAGAGAGAGAGCAAGCAAGGAATAGGAGAGGGTTTCACGCATTCGTTTCCATTTATCTAGCATGCCCCTGGCCTTCCCCTCTCCCGGTTACTTTCTGGGGGCTCCCACAGACCTTCCGCATCAAGTGTGGTTCTGCCCAAGACCGTTGCTATCTTAGCCTGACACGCTACGCCTGCAAGGCTTTGCCTTTCAAGGCCGTAGGCAAGGCCGACGGACAAGGGATGCGCACCAGTACGCTTGTGGATGCGTACGGGTCAGAAAGCTTTTTCTTTTTTTTCATAGTCTGAAGGCGTTGGCTGTATTTTAGTTTCCCCCTTTCAAAAAATATTTAGTTATTTTTGAGGAAGATTGAACGGTACGCAAACGACAACCATTCTATAAGTCATCAATATATGTCATTCCCTAGGTGAAGCATTCAATTTCGGTTGTTTTGCAAAAACTATAAGCTACAGAGTCAAATTATGGGGGGAAAGAGGCATTCAGGGGGAGATTGGGAGTTGATTAACACATTGACCACCACCATTTTTTTACTCACAGTCACAGAAATTCGAAAAAAATATGAAATCAATTAGTAATATCCAGTACTTCATCATGCAATGTTAGAAATCAGCAACTATGTGGTATTGCTCAATGCATAGTACGCGACATCTCGTACTTGGCGGTCAACGTGTTAAAATTCGATTAATTTAGAACAATTCTAAATCGCGATTAATGCTTTAATCGATTGAATTGACAGCCCTGTTTATAAGCATTTGGCATTTTTTAGTTTCTCCGTTTTACTTCTTGGCTTTTCAGAAATTCGAAGGCCAAGTTCATACTCTTGCTGCACTACGTCGTAGAACATGCTGCACAAAAAAGCAACAGTCCCTTGCTGTACTTGGTGTTCTTCTGCACCCTTAAATGCTTTTTTTTTCTATTTAATCCAGAATGCTGCACTAGATTTGTGACAGCACTGGATTTGTGTCGGAAAAAATCCGGCATCCTGCTACCGAAAGTCATTTTTTTATGCATTCTGGGATTGCACTTCAACAGCTGGCCTGCTTGGCTTGCGCAGTTGCATCAAGCAGCATGCTGTAAAGCACGACTATAAACTCGGCCTAACTGAGATTCGGGCTTTTGTCGCTCACCGTATTCAGTTCATTACTCCTTCCAAATGCTCTTCTGATCCGAATGATCTTCTTGCATCAATAACTTTTATGTGCTTCAGTTCCACGCTGGATAATGATATCTGCGAGCTGACCTTGGCTACGGCTCTGCCCTTGGATGGAGTGACCATAAAGGCTGTCACACTCCCATCACAAGGCCAGGATTATCCAAGTACGTTTCCCATTCGCGAAGGACATGATACAGTCTTTGATCGATATCAGAAATCCAACGACGACATAGATAGAATATGATCTACAACAAGGGATAACTAAAATAACGTCACAGATGACCTTCCTTCTTGAGGTGTTGCCGAGTCTCCTGTCGATGGCATCGCCGGTTCATACTGTCTAAAATCTCAATTGATGGGAAATCGTAAAACCGATCCAAATCTTATCAATGCACTTCCATATGCATTCTGCAGAACGGAAATTTACAAGTTCTTAAGTGTGATATCGCATTCGGTGGGATACTAAAGCAGCCATTTTTTCATTTTACGACGCGATATGACGTGTTTAGAGAGGCTTCCGTCCTGCAGTAGGCAATAATAGATAATGAGTCCACGAATCCATGAAAATCCACTTGTGGTCAACAGCGACCACAATGATGGAAGTAGCTATGGAAAATAAGGAAACACTTTGAAGAGGTATCAGGCGTAGGCCCTTGCACCTTGAAACAAAGTACTTCGATAAAAATTAATTTTCAAGTTCAAGAACATTTGGAGCCCCTGCCCAGAATAATATCCATTGCTAGGTTGTCATGTTAGTTGGTTTTATCTGGTTTACTCATTCCCTCTTACCGAGGAAAATATTGGTTGTAGGGATATGGTTAACCAGAATGAGTATCGGTATGAGGATATACTTTGTAGGTGGAACGGAAGCAAGCGTCAGCTGTTGGGGAACCTCTTCGGAAAACATCGATGTCGTGGATGTCCACACCTACACTAACGCTGAGTGCAATCAACTCTTTGGTGGTGGTATCACTGATGACATGATCTGCGCGGGTGTCGACGAGGGTGGCGAGGATGTGTGCCAGGTTAGATATCCAATCATAGCAATGAAAGAAAGTGTATCAGGTCCTGTCCATTCAAGTCGTTTCTTGCTGTAATGCAGGGACGTTCCGGAAGTCCCCTGTGCTTGAGGGGAGGTAATCGGCACCTTATTGGGATTCTTTCCTGGGGCTATGGCAGCTCCGTGCCCTTTCCCGCAGTCTATACCCAGATTTCTGCATTCGTGAACTGGCTGGAGTAGCAGGTCCAATAAAGCCTATTCACTCATTGACATATGGTTCTTAAGGCGATGAAGATGTTACGAGACGTACTTCATTAAATTTACATTGATTTACCACTTTGTCCTCGATGGTTCGTTAGTCCACGCCGCGAGGAAGGACCCCAATGGTGCGGAAGGCCCTAGTATCTCAGGTCCGACCATGATACAGGGATTTCCGTTGAGGGTGACCAAGACGAACCAAAACCAGCACGACGAGTTCGGCTCGGGATTCCATACTGGCTCAGTCGTCGGCCAGGATAACCAGTACTGTGAGAGACATTGCGCTCCCGGGGTGACTATAGATGAGTTGGCAAGTTGGCAACTGGGGCCCGGCAATTTTTCTTTTTTTGCATGTGTCGAACATCGTCATGCTACATCCAGGCCGATTTATGGGACAACAATCGTACAAAACGAGACGATTTTATGATCGATTTGAATGCCTCCCAGATAAATATTGTAACATGTTACCAGGTGACCAACCTCTGACAGGGATATACAGGTTGGTGGATAAATACCTCCGGGGTTGTAAGAGGAAATAAAAGACTCATGACAAATGACTTCAAACTGATATCTATTCCCATGACAGCCTGGAAATGTGGAGATTCTAGGACAAACATATAGTTAGGTCACTTGAGGAAAGTGACGTCACTAAGGTGGCCGCCATCGCGCTCGACGCATTCTCGCGTACGGTCCACTACATTGTGCTTGACACGCTGCAACATCGCGACGGGTACAGCGGCTATTTCTTCCCGTATGCGATTTTCCACAGCCTCCAAGGTTGCCGGGCGTGTGTTGTACACCTTGCTTTTCAGATACCCCAACAGGAAAAAAAAATCAGGAACTGTTAGGTCCGGCGACCGCGATGGCCAATGAAGATCTCCATATCTGGATATGACGCATCCAGGTAACATTCTGCGGTGGAGCGTTGACGATGATCGTGTCGCCGTCGTCGTCGACCTCGAAACAGTACGGGCCGATCACTTCATATGTGCACACAGCACACCACACAGTCAGTTTCTCGCTGTGTTATGGCCGCTCATGGAGTAAGTGTGGATTTTATGCCGTCCAATATCGACAGTATTGCTTGTTCATATGGCCACGAAGCTCGAAATGTGCCTCGACACTCTACAAGCAGCATCTCCGGAATTTGCGGATCGCCCTGCACCATGTGAAGGAACTCCATGCAAGGAAAGTTTAGTTTAGGCCTGGAAAACTCGGAGACATCAATTGCCTTATTCTGACGACCTCTATCAACCAACTCATTGCATTCATACTCAGTCGGATGACATTTGGACCTGTCTTTGGGTCCTGTCGTCATGACATCGAAGTTCGGTGTCAACGTTTCTCCCTGATTTGGAACTGGTCCTCGAAACTTCTTCGAGAAAGGCAGCAGAACATATAAGCCCTCTTCTTCACTGTAAATATATATGCATTCGTGTCTACCGTGAAGCTGAACCGACACGATAACCCTCCGTGAAGGACATAAGAAAGTGAAACCTGCTCTGACGGATATCTTGCGGAAGTGACAGCATCCACATCGAAGACTTCCACGCAAACCGGTCCATATATCAAAACTACATGGCCTTCCCTCTTTTTCCTTCAATAATTAGCACCTAGTTCGGATCGTGTCCTGGAGTGCTGGGGACAGCTGTGCTCGTCCCCGTCTTCCTGGAGTATACGCTCGCATTGATACATCCACTTACATTGCCTGGTTACGTGAAGGCTTTTAATGAAGATTTCACGTTTCCACTAATCAACTCTACAATCAAAGTACTTAATAAAAACAGTTCTCATGAGGTATGTGGCCCTATCATTAGCACATCAATCGAATGGACATTCTGTTGTGGGTTTCATCTGCTGACGGGTTGAATATGCTCTATACCCCTATGAAGTTGAGTGAAAACCCATTTTCGGAGGGGTTGAGAAACTTAGGAGTACCGCCAAGCAACATGCGTTGCTTGGCGGTGCCAGTTTTGGCAGTCATTGTGCTAACAAAGAAAACCTCAAATGCACAATAGGAGGGGCGAACGGGGTGAAGGGAATCGGCTGCTTCAAGCATTAACCATTTCAAGCCAATGAGCGCAACCAAATGGATATCTTCGCGAAGCCTGACTGCCTGACTCTCGTACCGCTGGGAAGTGTGCTGTTAGAGGACTTGGCGGTGGACATCCTGAAGACTGACATGGACATTTCTGACATAAGACCTTAACACAAAAATGTGCAGCTAGTGAGTTTATGCTTGAATTTCGTGGCGATAGAGTACTTTGCTACTGAATTATGACAGATTTTTTGGACACCCTGTACAGTATATTTCAGATGTCGGCCACGAAGAAAAAAATATAACAGAATGATAATATAGAAGAGATACGTGGAGGCCCTGAAAAGTTTTTCTTATCGAAAAAAGCAGGCGGATGTTCTCCAGTGGGAATTGTTGCTTACTCGTGCGTTCCGGAAAGCTCCGCATTAAAAATAGAACTTGACACGTAGCTTCATTCTCCTGTTCCACCGGATACTTGCTTAAGGTTACCAGTGAACTCACCGGTGATCAGCATCTTCGTAGGCATCATGCTTCGATTCGTGCTGTTTTCTCTGGCACTCGCCTGGGCTAATGCTGCTCCCGCTGACACCCTCAAAGGTAAGTTTCTCGCCAACAAATACAGTTGATGGCACTTATTAGCAACCCTGATGAAGACAACTTCCGGTTAGTGACAACTTTTTTCCAGGAACCGATCTCACCCCTTTGATATTAATACTAACGGAATTCAGATAGCAATTGCCACGTTGCTTATTGACAACTTTATGGGAGTCAGAAAAAAAAACCAGTAGCTCATGTTATTCTTTGAAACATATTAATCTGTTCTTCACGTTAATAGTCGCCTATTTTCAGTTTCTTCAGTATCACTTTACTGGTTTCCATCGGGGAAAATATATCTAAAACAATATTTGCAAGCATTATCAGTTTATTTGTTAATGAATACATGTTGTGGACATCTATAAGACGTCTTTATGTATCTTAGAAACTCATTTGGGGAAGACATGTCTAATTATCCGTTCGGATACACTTCAAACTTTCTGCCTATCTCTTCCTACGAAGACATGACAAGTAAAGGTGCACATACCGTTTGTTCCTAGCTTTATTGCGTATAGTTAGCCCATACAGGATTTCTTCAGATCCGAAGCCTTTCGTGGTGTTCTTTTCTTCACAAACACGGATACCCTGAATTTTATCTGACAGGCAAATCAAATTGCCGGTTTCTAACTCGAACTAAAAGCGAGACGTGTTGCAATCATTCAAAGGAACAACGTTCTCACAACCGATGCGTGATGGCATCTGAATAGCCTCGGAGGCGATTCCCTTCCTGATGAAACTCAGAAGTTCCCAATATTTTACATGTGGTATGCAATATTTTTTCCAAGCACTGCACAAGGGATTGATTAACGTCAAGGTTCAGGCACCTCTTCCATTTAGTCATCAGAGGTTCATCGTCTTCGGCAATGATTGCATCAGAGAAGGATGCATCTTTCAAATATATTCGATATGCCTAAAAAATGAAGACATCTTGGAAAGGTGACATACATACATGACATTCTCGATACTGCTTATCCCAACTTAATGGGGTCACAGTTCGAGCATGCTCAAGAGCGTTTTCCAATGATCTCGATCCTGGGCGACACAGAGATCACGTCCAAGTCACGCAACATAGAACCCTGGGTTATTCCTTCCACTGTCTTCTTATCATTGTCAGACTTATGGACAAATATGGGATTGAAGTATAATCATGATATCTAAATCCAATTAACGTTTCCGGAAACTATTCTTCGGAAAATGCTCGAGTCTTGCTATGGGAACGGAGAAGAGTAAGCAGACAGGAGTTTCGGCGCGATTAAGGTTAATAAAGCAATTTTCACAAAATTAAGGAGATTTTCCACAGGAAAACATCGTCTAATCACTTTAAGGCTCTGATTAGAACGTAGGTCAATGTTGTAAAACATACGGCACTACCTTCCCCGTCACGGCAGCTGAATTGAATGGGTACCACTTTTAGTAATATTAAGAGGTCTTTACCATCTGTGATGCTTTCTCGCCTGCGCGGATATAGCGCCGATTGGTTGGTTCATTAGTTTTCTGTCTCACTCATGCTCACAGCAGGGTAGCTCGTTATTGGCAAGGTTCGTGTGCAGATCTTTCAAACGCCCGTAAGTCCGAGACGGCGAACACATGGGGTTCTCAGGAACAGACTCCATCTGTACCTTTTCAGTAGACTCAGGAAAGTAGGGATGCTACCGATAATATATCGGGCCGATAAAACGAAAATTATCCGCGTTTATCGGAAAACCGATACGAACAATTATCGGTAAGCCGATATCAGAGGTTCCCTCTAAAACGTCGCTCTTTTGCAGCGTTTGAATCAACTAGAACAGAGGGAAGGGGATGGCACAGAGGATGCTCTGGAAGAGAAAGCCAAGAATCCAATTGTAGAAACCATATGATCGTAAACGTATTTTCAATAATCCGACAATGGTGCAGTTGGCCTGATGGCGGGCGGAAGGAGATGGGAATATCCAATGAAAGGGAAAACCACGGGAGAGATGCTCCGCGAGGGAAATGTGCTATTTCAGCTCGCTGAGAACGGACGAGTTGAGGTGTGCATATCACGATGATTCAGCACGATTGCCAAATTAAGTCGAGCGAGCAAAATGTAACCTACATTACTCAATCTGTCTCACTCAGGATGACCCCTGCGCAAGACCCACATGGATCTCTTAATTCCTTCCCGCTACCGCTTCTATGCCTATTGCTCACTTTTCCCGGTACCCGTTAAAGCCGACAAATAAACACTCCCTTAGTTGCGAACTGAGCGGCTACTTTCATCGGACGATGTCCGATGAAAGGGGAGTCCATGGTTCCTCAAAGGATAGTTAACTAATGGAGGTTTCGTCATTCTAGCTTCATTCTTTTGTCTTACTATGACCTAGGATGGAGGAGGGCGGGGGAGGGGGGGGGGGGGGGGGAATCGACTGCAACTCTACCAGACTCATAAATTCTGGTTTAGGCACAAGAGGAAATGCTATGCCAACTTTCACTGTTCCAACTGTTAGGTTCCAATATAGGTTAGCTTAAAATATGCCTTCCAGTCCCATGAGATAATAAAACTGGACTCCTGAGAGACATTCATCATGATTATCGGTTTATCGGATCGGTTAAATCGGGTCCCTCTTGATGAATATCAGTATATCGGATATCGGTAAAAATTCCTCATCCGTAACATCCCGACAGAAAAGGTACGCATTTTTTAAATACCTATTTTGCTTTGGTACCTTTTCAATTACCGCATTTCACGACATATGTTTGTACTTCAGAACGCAAAATATGTTCCTCTCGGTATGTTACTGCTTCGCTGTGCACGCTTTTTCAAAGATTAACGTATGTGGCCTTAAATTTGAAGAGTTAAAGTTGCAAGCGACATTTTCAGCACTACTATTCTTTAATTTTGTAAGACATTTCTTGCTTCAAATTGGTTCGGTTGAGTACATTCTAGTTTGTTTGCCTTCACATCTTCATTTATTCCTGTTCTTTTTCCCCCTACTGATAGAGGCATTCCAGTGGGTGTCAGACAAGCCGATGCCGGATGGGAGAATCGTGGGGGGAGAGAATGCTAGAATCGAAGACATCCCCTGGCAAGTTTCCATTCAGTATGACATCGGCTTCCATTTTTGCGGAGGATCCATCATGGACGAGTTGCACATCATCACGGCTGCCCATTGCTGCGCCGGCAAGACGCCCCAGGAACTCCAGGTGGGATCTTCAGAGCAAGTTCAAAGTCGGCTCCATGATGTGCACCATGCAGTGTGATGCATAAGTGTGTGACTTTAAACCTTGCAGATTAGAGCCGGCAGCAGTAACAAAGGCACGGGGGGAGTCATTCGCTACGTTGATGTCATCAGGCAACACGAGGAATTCAACTAGTACAGTTATTTGTTAAATTAATTTTAAAGTCAATTTCTTCGTTTTTATGTTAATCACATGCTCATTTTACGTTGAACTACTGCTATGCCCGATTCCATTATGTTTACTCATCCCGGATTATAAATGGAATGATATGATCATAAGCAACTCACGCCATTTATGATGTGAATGATCTCACATTTACATGCTTGGCCATTCGTATGAGTGGAAAAAGCTCGTAAAATTCAGTCAAGATTCGGGTTGCTATTTTTATAAAGATATTTCTCAAAAATAAAGATATTTCTCTCATTGATAGAACTGAAATGGTGATATTGGCAAGGCAAAGGCTCACTTTTTTTATAATTCAAGGGTATAAGTTTTTCTGAAGAAATTCCAAATGTCAAAATATGCTCACAGCGGGAATGGTGTCAGCAACCGTAGGCTCGCTTGGATGCCGACCTGAAGGCTCTCGCGCAGTACTCAGCAAGAGTTGGGGCGCCATGTCACAGACTATCCACGCAGTATCCATTCAGCCTTGTTAGCTCATGGATCCATTTTTTTTAATTTATTTTTTACTTTTACCAGCGAGAGGCAGTATGCGACATCGTAGTTGTGGACTGAACTCATGCAATGCCACACCGGGTGGGCCAAAACTCCGCACTTTCCTTCCAGCTTCCAACTGGACTGGGCACACCCAATATGTACTATTTTTCGTCAAATATTCCAAGGAGGCTCGCTAACGGATTATGAAGGATTATAACGAATGTGGAAAATACAGGTAATATAATGGGACAAAGGAATAACTAACTCGAGTACCAGCCCAGGTACAGATCTGCCCTTCCTCTGTCCCCGATAAACCTGTAATTGACTTCTTCGCAGCTTCCTTACCATTCAACCTTGAAATAAATAATAGATGTCATTTGTACGTCATAGGCCTATATGGGCGTCCGTGATAGTATAAAGTGTAGGTTGCCAGATGCGGCATTTCACACGTACGCCTAGCAACCCTGTCCCCGCGGCCACGAGCAGCTCCCCTCTCTTATTGCCCACCATGGGTCCCTCATCCGCGAGAGTTGGAAGGGAAGTAGATGTTTTAGTTGCATACTGGCACCCCGACCTAGGCGGAAAGCTGCACATCCGCAGCCGTGTTGTTCAGTTGCTTTGAATACTGCAGACAGACGAAATGAAAAAAAAGAGACATACCGATCGCAATATCTGCCATTTCCCCATAGTGCCTATGAGAGAACGGCAGGTAATGAGAAATAATGAGGTCAGCACACTTGTCAGTTGTCCTTGCCTAAATTTTGATTTGTTTCTGCCTTAGCTTCGAGCTGGTGAATGACATCTGCCTCCTGACCTTGACCGAGGCTTTGCCATTGGACGGCGTAACAATGAAGGCAGCCACCCTCCCCACACAAGGCCTGGAGTATGAGAGTGAGCACACTGTATTCGTTTCAGAGTGCAAAGGGACCAATTCGTACATTTCATGAGTTTTGTGCAGCTCAACTCTTCTTACTGTCCCGAAGAAAAAAAACTCTGAAAAATTGTTCCCTAATTCACACTTAAAAACCACACGTTCACTACCACAACCACACTATAAAGAATCGAGTCAGATTTCTCTGCGAAAGTAAAAATGATATGCGAATATCATCTCTCAGTGAACTATATTTCTATTGCGAGTAAAATGCCTTTGCACGTGACATGTACCAGCTGACTCTCATGCTTGAGAAGTGATCCTAAACCGGACCTCACGTTTGGGCATTTATTACCTGAATTTGTTGAAACTCATTTACAAATTTGTTGACATGATGGTGCGTCCATCAAAAGATGTATAAGCTTTCCATTTTAAGAACAATCTCAATAAAACCTAAGATTGCAAGTTTTTGGGGGGAGAAAAGGGCCAACCCGGCCCTCTCCCGAGCTCACTCAGAGGATATGTAGCATTATTTACCTTTTAATTCCTCGAAATTCAGTCGAGCTCGTTCACGAATTTTATATAGCTGGAAGGTTCTTCTCGTTATATATCACTCATAATACAATAAAATACAATGACGACTCTTGCAGAAATCTTACAGGCGATCAAAGAAACGTGCCTCTGGTCCTTCGAAGCGGTCATTTAGAGGCTGTATACCGTTTTATATACTCCAACATGGGCATCGTCTTCTCGAGACACATTTCCGAAAATTAAAAAGAAATATTTTCCGAATTTTGTGAAAAATGTTATCCCAAATAATTGGATATTAAAAGTCCTCCTATCCCATGTTGAAGGTTTGTTCCGGGTGCAATTACAGAGTCAAGGCGCTATGGAGGGGCCGGAGTCCCCAGCCCATTTGCAATTTACAATTTGTTTTATTCGTGTAATCTGTACTAGTCTAGCTCAAATGAAACAAAATCGAATAAACTTTCAACTTAATGTAAAAAAGACATTAACGTTTCATAAGAATGGCTCCAGTAAGTGCACAGACGAAAGTTAGAGTTCGTGGATTTTTTGTCATACCCTGTATAAATATGATGTGAATGATAGGATGTGTAATAGCCCTCTACCAAATTAGTTGGGTTTGTGGATTAAGAACTTGAGAGGGGGGACATCACATACGGTTGTGAAATGTGCATGTTATATGGTTCCGAAATAGTCAATCTTCAATCAAGATAAATAGTCAATTTATCTTCCTCGTTGAAGCGAATGCATAAGGGTTCATTCCATCGTTTCGGGTTCAGTAGCTGAAAGTACTATTACCTGTTTCGAAAGTGCCTCCCTCCTCTAATATTTGATGCCAAGCAATCCTTTTCGCCTTCCTTTTCCCTCAGCCTTGAGGGGGAAGAAGGGAGCTTGCGAAATGAGATCATTCAGCGTTCCAACTAAATTATCTAATTTCACTAGGTTACTTGGTTTTATTGGGTTTACTCAGTATTGATTGTAAGGATATGTTTAACCAGACTTAGAATCTGTTCTGGTACAGGTGGAACGGAGGTGAGTGCCAGCGGATGGGGAACGCTGTCCGAAGGGGGATCCTCTCCGGACATCCTCCAAGTCGTGGATGTCCGCACATACACAGACGATGAGTGCAGGGCACTTCAAGATGGTATCACTGATGACATGCTATGTGCGGGTGTCGATGAGGGCGGCAAGGATTCCTGCCAGGTTAGATATCAAACTAACCTACTCGAAGAAAGCATATCTAGTTCTGTTCATTCCAATAGGACGAAAGGGAACTTTTAATAACTTCTCATTCCACCTAGTTTATCTGCAATAGAAATACAATATAATTTGTCTTTGACGCAAGTTGACAGAACCGATGATGATGAATTCGGCCTCCCCTCCCCATGCCACTTTCAACTACAGGGTGATCGTAAAAAAAACGCAAGTGGAAAATATATTAGTACTAGCGAGTTTGTTTGCCCGGGGCAAACAAACTCGCTGTGGTCGCGCCTTCGGCGCTCCATTACCTTGGATAGTGATTAATTCATTCATTTTTTGCGAAATGGGAAACATTTATTTTAAGTACGTCCCCATTGAAATGCGTGACATATGGGGTGGAAAATCTTGATTTTTTTAATCAAAATCATTACTTCTATGATTCTATGTGTGCCTAACTTGAAATCCTTTCTTGTGTCCCTTTTTGTAAAGGTGGAGAATACCTTTAGAAATACTTCCCTCCAATAATCTACGCTAAGGAGACATTTCAGGATTTTTCCTCTGCTCAGCCATCAAACAGGTACTTCTGAGGGAAGTTTAAGTTTTCTGTCTCTGTTTCGTTGGATCAAAAAATTATGAAAATGGGACTGAAAAGAGTGCCCTGATGGGCTTTCACGAAAAATCTTTTTCTTTTGAAATGTAGACTCAAGGAACTCCATGCCACACAGATTCAGCCTTATACGTTTCCATTTTTGCTGGCGGAAAAAATGTATTTGGAAAAGCGACCCGCCCAAAGTGACCCTGTGCTCTGAGGAAACGCACAAAAACGTAGAATTTTACCTTAAATCAGCATCACGTCCGTTATGCGTGAGACAGCTACTTTTCTATTTCCGCCCGATTCGGTAGGACATGAAAAATTCTTCGAAAACGTTACGTCCCCAGGGAATATGAACCCCAAAAAATATTTTGGAAATATGATATTTGATATTTGAGCTCAGTTCGTCAACGGTCACGTTTTTGCGAAGTTTCAGCTTTCAATGTGTCTCCGTTTGATTGAAACAGAACTATTTGAAAATATGTTCCCCGAAAGGTGTGCCCCTATTGCATGTATCACCAAAGTATAACTTTTCCTGAACTCAGCATGTGAATATCTACTTATGTCAGTCAGCTCCTCACGATCGTCTATATATAATGAAAGTATAATTTTTTTCTTTACTCAGTTATCCATCAGGTACTTTGCCAAGTTTAAACTTCCATGCGCCCTCTGTTTTGCTGGATCAGAAAATTCGTGAAAATACGCCTTTTGCAAAATATGTGCCCTGAGCCGTTTTAATCGAAAAGTACCTCTTTTTTTATTACCGAAATCCATCCTCAGTGAGCTACATGCCCACAAAGTTTCAATATTATGTTTGCCCTTTTGGCTGGTGAAAAAACATGTTTGGAAAGCCGACCCACCCAAAAGCTATGACCGGAGGGGATGCACCATGAAAGCTGAATACTCCCTCAGTTCAGTAATATCGTGTCACTTATACGTGTGCCAAGTTCCACCTTTCCATTTCTGTCCAATTCTCCGCGACAATTTTTTTTTTCAAAACATCGGCCCTCGAAAAAATTTCCCCAGGGTATGTATCGAGACTTAACATTTTTATTTAACTCCTTGTCTCAGTAGTCACATTCATGCAAAGTTTCAGCTTTCCATGTTCATCAGTGTAACTGATGCAAAAAAATAGTTGAAAATATCTCCCTTTGAAATTTGTGCCCCCAAGACATTTATTTCTAAAGTCTGAATTTTTCTGCAGCATCCTAATAGGTAGTCAAGTACCAAGTTTCATCTTTACACACTAGCTCAATACGCCTGTACAAAAAAAAATACTTGAAAACGTCGGCCCCAAAAAGTATCCCCCAGGGCATGGATCTAAAATTTTGCATTTTTCCTGAAATCATCGTCTCGGTAGGCACCTCCATGCCAGGTTTCAACTTTCCATGTCTCTCCGTTTTACTAAAGCAAAAGTAATGTTATGGAGGGGAATGAGTAACGGGGCATGGAAGGCAAAAGAAGCCAAACGAAAGCCAATGAATGGCCGGGAATTAAACCCGGACCTCCTGCTTGCCGGTCAGATATACTACTACTACACCACCGAACCCTGGACATGCCGTTGACTATTTGAATGCCATCCTTATCTGTCACAATATACTGTATATTTAAGAAAAACGTTTCCCCAAAAAAATGTGTACCCCCAGGGCATGTACCTCCAAAGTCGGATTTTTTCTGAACTCTGCATCCCAAAAGGTACATGTGTATCAATTTTAAGATTTCTAACTTCTCTGGAACATCGTTAGAATTAGCGTCAGTCAGTCACGATCGTCTATATATATTAGATATTTTTTAAATCAACTTTTCACAACAAATACTGAAAATATCCAATTATTGTTCTAAAGTTTCATTTTTCCACTTTCAGATGGACCTGAAACAAAGATAAAAGTTTAAGTCAAGCATTAAGAAATGGGCAACCATGCATAATATGCTACAGTATTATACAGTAAATTCCACTTGCATTACTTTACGATCACCCTGTACTTACAAATATCTCTATGATGCATAGAAGAGCTATGAAACATGACTTAAACCTTGAATTCATGAGGAAGAATAGAGAACTAACAAAAAAGGAGGGGAACAGAGCATGTAGTCGTTGTAATTTTGCCCCCCCCCCCTCCCCCGCCTCTCCTGAACCTTCCCCCGCTGCAGCTGCTTAGGTGATGAAAATATTCTCAAAGGTTTATGAGGATTCACTACAATATAGGGAGATTCCGGAGGTCCTCTGTTCCTGAAGGGAGATGATAGGCACCTTGTGGGGGTCGTTTCCTGGGGACGAGGTTGTGGAGAACCCCTTCTTCCAGGAGTCTATGCTCAGACCTCAGTATTCGTGAACTGGCTGGGGCAGCAGGTCCAATGAAGCCTTTATGCGCTGCTCATCTGGTTAATAAACCGATGGTGATATTACGAATCGTGGTTTATTGCATGTACATCAATTGAAAAGTCATTCTGGTGAGAAGACTTCCCTCCACTGGAACCTACACATGTACGTTCTCTTAATCAAATTGTGTAACAGGAATACAGATACAGACATTGATCGCCTCATTGTTGGAAATTTGCAGTTTTGTACCATCAACATTTTTAAAAAGAAGATGGAAGTTACAACTTAAGGAGATTTTAGTGCCAAAGGTGAACAAAGTGATATAAGATTGGGAATGCGAAGAAAATGTATTAAATTGCATACAAACAGCAACCCAACCACCCCTACGGTTGAGCCAACGCACAACAGTCCTTGGGTCCCTCTGAATGGCCTCGTAACCTTCTGGCGATGCTGTTTCTTTTCTGCGTTCAACATTCTGGGCACCCATCTTGCAGACACTTTCTTCATCTGGAGGTTCTTCTTCAATATAGATTCTACACCACCAACATTATTCTGCAGGGTCGTAGCAATGAGCCTAATGGTCATTCGCCGTTCTACATACACCATAGCCTCCACACGGTTAACATTCTCATCAGAGATTGAAGTTGTTGGTCTGCCTGACCGTCATTCATCATATATGCTCTACCTGCCACATTTGAATGCAGCAATTCAACTTTTCACTTTGCTATAGGAAATAGTATTTTCCCCTAAAACAGTCACTATCTCAGTGTGGATTTCCTTAAGGTTAAGTTTAAATGCAAGAATTTAATCACATCACGAAGCTCGATTTTTTTTCCATTTTAAAAACATGGGAGTGACTACACTTTAAAAACCTATGGGGAAAAGAAAACAACAAAATACAAGTTGGATGACTGGACATTCTAGTTTTCCTCTTGAAATCGAATGGAGGGTCTGGGTAAAAAGCATAGTTGTGCTAACTGGTCATCTTTCCTCTCAGCCCGAAAACTTTTTGAATGGCCCTCGCGCATATTGTAAAGCATTTAGAGTCAAACTTTGTCCATTTACATGTACAAATTGCACATCTAAAACGCTGCAATCCATCAACCTGCATCCAAGATAGAGAAATTGCATTTAAAATATTTAAAATATATCTGTGTGCTGCACATAATATAAAAAATTGAAATTGACCCACTTTATGTACTCCAGGAACACGTGTTTTCATGAGAGAACTTTTCCATCGCCAGGGAAAAGAGATTCTTTTTTATAATGGATTCTCATCTACAAAAACCCTCATGTGGGAGTCTGAACACATGCCACTTATTCAAACAACAAAATAAATATCTGAATATCCAGATCCACATTGCTGGAGCTATTGATAAACACAAATTCCTTCTTCCGGAAGCTCCGACCTGATATAATTTCTGGAATCGCCAGGAAGCGACGCTCGACCGAGTTCCATCATGATTCATGCTGATAAAAAAACATGCCATGGAAGAGGAATATGATTATTTCACCAGCTGAGAATGCGGTTGATGACATTTAATGTTGTTCAGTAGGAGAAACCATGGGTTAACCGTTACAGATTAACAGCCGCCTCAAGGACCATGCAGGGTGAATGTGAATGATTCGCCAATGTGGATTCTGTCATACAAGTTGTGATTATCATTCAAATTTATTCCATTTACAATGGATTCTTGCAACTTTATTGAGCTCGGCCCGTACGTAAAGCTCTTCATTGCACAAGCACCTGGGTCGGCTTGGCAAGGCTCGTTTCCCTATACATAAATCCTTTTCAATCAGAAACCTCTAAATAAAAAAAAACCCTAGTAACATATAACATTGAAACAGCATTGATGCTGATTCAACATCTGGACGTTGAACCAAAGTTGAATCAATGTTGATTCATTGTTATATGCTATTATGGCCGGGCCTCCTCACGCATCTCTGTATGCCATCCTTATAACTACAACTAACTTCTTCATTCACTTTTTACGGTATAGAATTTATAGTATAGCACCTGCACGTTGAAAGCAGCAAAGAGCTAAGCAGGGATGTCATGCCACCAATGCATAGGTTACAAAAACGCTAAGGAGTTTGGAGAGAATTCCAAATTCTGGACAGAAGGAAGGCATTTCAAGGAAGGCGAGATCTTCACGAGTTGAGGAGGGAGTTTTTTTTAAATAAAAACAGGGGGAGAACAGTCAACTCTCATTAACCGCCACTCGATATAACGCAAACCTTTTCTTGCGGCTGCATATCCCCATAGGCTTATAAATTTACTAGTATAATACACGAAATAGATAAGTCATAAAGCGCCACCCTCGTTATAGCGCCTAAATCGGCGATGACCAACAGTGGCGTTATATCAAGGGTTCACAGTACAGTACATTGTAGGGGTACGTTACGGCCCTTTCCGAGGAAGGCCATTCTTTATCTGTGATTATGAGTGCATGGACAATGGTTATACGGGCATGTGCAAACAATCCTCTGAATACAAGCCATATCAATCCTCGAAGACACGGAAACTATCACGCGAAAAGGGCTATTACTTAAAGGATTAATAACTCTTGAACTCCCTTGAAGGTTGAATCGCACTGAAAGGGGATCATTGTGGTCAAAAGTGCCTCGTGTATCGATGAAGATTCACTGTATGAGGTAAATGAAGCTGGAATAAGGAATATGGTACTTCTCACTGCTGGGACAGCTGATAGGACATGAGAAAGCAAGAGCTTGTTATCCAAGATGCAACACCTGGGTCTGGCACCATGCTGGAAGTCAATGTCACCTGAGAGTGCACACCCACGCAGCACAGTGATACCCCAGGGATGTCTCTAATTGGATTACTTGTCCCCTGGTCTCTATGGGATATCCTGAAGATATCTTCTTTCGGACGGTTTCGGACATCTCGTAAGAGATGTATTCGGGATATCTAAGAGATATATTTTAGACATCCGTAGTCGAATGCTTCTGGATATCCTGGAGGGGATATATTGACGACATCTTCAGTCGAACGCTTTTCGATATCTTCAGGAGAATGTCTTAGGGACATCTTAAAGATGTCTTTAGGGATCTTCAGTGCTCTCTGTCGCCTTCAGTCAGGTGCATAGCTTCGACGGTAGATGTCTCCCGTGAGCCCTGATCTGCAACTTCAGATCTTTTCTATCAAATTTATCAACTTGATTTGTCCTAAGGATAAGTAAGGATTTTCATACCGTACATCAGGAGAACTGCCACCAGGGAAAGTGAAAAATTGCGGTCCGAATTTTAATTAATACCGCTATATTCCATTTAATGATGAGCGATCGGCATGTCTGGATACAACTATCTTGCTTGGAGGTCTGAGCCCATACTTTTCAAAAGGCATATGGTTAAATCATCTCGTCCATGATCCCTCTTGTAAAGGCGCTAAATTTCGTCACTTGGAGATGTCTACCGTATTGGGGCCCCCTTTATGAACAGTATTTTCTTACCCCATAATCGACACTCTTCAATCGGTCAAGAACTTAAGATTAAGCGTTCCTAGATCAATTAGAGACAACTCCGAAAGTAATGAGCGCTCCTGTGCAGTAGGAAATGAGTCAATTGAGGATAGGAAGGCGCCTGCGTACCTCGTACTACCTGGGACTTCTCACTTGTCCCAAGGGGATATCTCTGGGTCATCCTTCGGATATGCTTTTGCTGCAGAAAGAGGCATCCTTGGGATGTCTTTACGCCCAGACATTTTGATATCCCTGAGATGTCCCCGCAAGGAATGTCCGAGACTTGTCACAAGGGGATATCTCTGGGATATCTTTGGAATATACCTGTGCTGTGTGGGCAGATCTGAGTTTTCATATTTTTCATAATAAAATTGGTTTCATAGACTTGACGATGGAGTCGACACGAACCATATTATCTCTGGAGTTCAGAATGACAAAGACGTGAAAACATTTTCACTAATCATGATTACCATGTTTAGAACAACTCGAAAAAACCCTCACCCATTCCACACGTGTACTTCTTTACTTACGTACTTACTCCCTTATGTGGTTTTGGTTGGGTGTGGAAATTTAACACAAGAGATCCTTATATATTCTACGCAAACCCCTCAAAATGTCAGCTGTATGTATCATGACCTGGTGGATGCTTGTTATATTTCATTAGCAGTAATCCTGATACAGCATTTAAAGTGTAGGCCAGCAGAAAAGAAACTCAAATTATTATCGGTTTCAAGACGCGTATTTCGTAGATACATGGCAGTCTGAGGTAATGACACATCATGACGAAGGGAAATTATGTGTCATTGCTTCAGACTGCCTTAAAACAAAAATTTCCTGTCTTCGAGTCGCTGGACGACGTTTCATAGCGCCGATATCACATCGATTCTTTTGTCTGTCACGAGGAAAGAACTTAAGCAAATGGGTGAAAACAGTAAAAATGAAAGACCAGAAGCGAGACAATCCGATGGAAGAGTTCATTACTCGGAGGCCTATGAATTTCTAATTGAGAGTAATTACCTCAGAAGGAAGTCATGACCTTCACCAGTCCTATTTGAGAACTTCAGCTACACAAAACGCATTTATCATCTAGAGGTAATAAACCCTATCAGTTTTACATGTGCATGCCACGAAATCGGGTATCTTGCGTCATGCTGGCAATCTAATTTCATCGTTCAGGTTGAAATGGAGATAGATCATATCAAATTTATACTGCGGAAATCCAGAGAAGTATGTTGCTCGATGCACCCCTTTATTGAAGAATAGACGGGGAAAAAAATTCAACAGTAGCTTGAGGGTGGACAGTGCATGGATACATCATGAAATATGCATATGTTGATTCTCGTGGATGTTGATGTTGAACATGGATGAATGGAGGAGCTGCAACAACGATATCATCTTCTGCTTACCTATATTGCGAAACCGCTGCGAGCAACAGATGGTGGTTCTCCAGTGGGAAGAACGATATCGTTGCAGGATGTACATGAGGGAAAAACCAGCCCTAAAATAGAAAAATCCATGAGGCTGGATGCGTATATATAAGACTGGGAATCAGAAGATTTTCAGCACAGACCTCCAGACCTTCCTTGATTATCCCTGACAATCAACAGCGACATGTTTCGCTTCCTCATCCTCTCTGTGGCTCTTGCCTGGGCCAATGCTGCTCCCGCTGACATCCTCAGGGGTATGTTCCATACGGAAATTTCTTTATAATTCCACAGCAGGTAATTCTCTTAATTTTTTTTAAATTGCATTGTCGCATCTAGTTCGCGGCTAAAAAATAGTTCTTCCGACGAAACATAAATAATTTGTACTAGACAATGGTGAACGTCACTCCTCATGGCTAAGTAAGCCTTCCTAAGTAAGACTTCCTATAAGTCAGGGGATCTAACAACCCAAATTAACTTTCCTCCTTTAGGACAATGCTAAAAGGATCCATGAAATTGGGATTTCAATCCTACAGGTAGACATAGCCGCCGAACCCAGGGGGGCAAGGGGGCACGTGCCCCCCCAACTATATTATTGAGGGGGTAACGCCCCCCCCCCCCCCCCCCCCCCCCCCCCACCCCACAATATTTTTGGGGGGGGAACCCCCCCCCCCCCCCCCCCAAGAATAGCCAAATTTCAACATAAGTATGGCACATGGAAAATTGGAAACAAAATGCTGCTTCACGAAAGAAATGAAACATGATTTTCCTTTCTGTTTAGAGCTCCAACTGGGGGAGATCCCTGTATCACTCCGTAAGGCAGTGGTTCTCAACCTTTTTTTGGCTGCGACCCAAATGCTAGCTCGGCATGGTTAGAATCCAGACAGCCGTTTTTTAACATTTCACAGATTGATAGGAGGAAAGGCATGATTGAGTAGCATGAGTGACCTAGACAAAAAGGAAAGTCACTGGAGACCCTTGGCGACCCACTAAAAATGGCTTGGCCCAAATTGGGTCGTGACCCAGGGGTTGAGAACCACTGCCGTAAGGGGATGAGGTGGAAGGGCCATGCCCAGCACCCCCTCCTCCCCTCCCGCTCGTCACTGCTACCATAATAATACTGTACTGGAGCTTCTCCAATGGATCCTGGAATAATTCCGTCACTGTTATTTCAAGGGCCTTAAAAACTTGCCTCCCCAATAATTTTTTTAAGTCGGCGCCAATGCGGGTTGTAGTTGGGTTGTAGTTGGGAATGGGTTGTAGTTGGAAAAACCCTGCTCCGCATGTTTGCAATCGAGGCAGTCAAAGCAGTGGAAGCACGTCCTACTTCATTGAAAATATTTTATGCTTCTAGCATTGTTCTTCACTTGAGCAATCATGCCTGCCCTAAATGTCAGAGAATTTTAATATTTCAATGAGCCTTTTTTATTGAATAATTATTAATGATTGGAAGAATAGATGCAAGAAATAAGGGCCTTCAGTAGAGATATTGTCAGCCCAATTCAGCAATCATTTGAATCACGAGCGTTGTCGTCAAACCATAGATCATGTTTATTCATCGATCGTTCTCACTGTCACTGTCGCTATTATTCATACCATTCTAATGATTTGGTACCCTTGTTTTACTAAATTAATGTTAACCCTTTAACGCATGACGTAGCAGATATGGTACATTGCAAATTAAGAAATTGTAATATGTAGGTAGTGAGCTCCTGAGGTAAATCGGTTCGTAGCAGATGTGCAACAGTGCGGTCCTTATACTTAGCAACCATGCGGTCGCTAGGTGCCATACACTCCTGGTGGCAAGCAAATTAAAAACACATGGCTTCGTAGTGTGACAGACTGGCATTTTTGATGAAAGTATTTTCAACTTTACGCTTATCCAGGGTCCAGGCTTATCAGTATTTTTACTTTATCTATTGCGTTTTTTGCGTACGAATGTCGACTGACCGAATGAACTCTCTAGCATCCATGCAGAGCGGGTCAGAAGCTGAAAATACTGTTTGTAGCAAATGTGCAATAATAAAATTTTCGGGCCTACTATGTATAAATTCGAGGAATTAATTTTTTTTCTCCAACTTTTCCAGTGTTCTAGGGCCTAAATAAAAAACCAACTTTTTTTCACAAAAAAAGAAAAAAAATCGTGCATAAAAGTGTTAAATCACTTTTTGCTTTACTGGTCACCTCGTTGGCCCATTCCACTCATCAAACGGAATAAATGTATTCATTCTTGTCCAAATCTCATATTCGTGAACTGTGTCAAGGTGGCGTCAAGTTAGTCATGTCAATGTGACAGAAGAGATAGATATATGAAGTAGAGGGTGAAGTTGCTTATATGCATGAAGCACTGTCACATGAGGTTACCAGAGGGTTGGGAGTTGTGACGTCTTCGCTTTCCTATTCCTCCTGCCGTCCCCCACCTCCCCATAGAACAAGCAAACACGGAAACAGAATTTCTAACGCATGAAATATTTATCCTTGCTGTTATCTTTCCAACAGAGATATTTCATTGGAAGTCAGACAAGCCCATGCCCGATGGAAGAATTGTCGGAGGTCATAATGCGGATATCGAAGACATCCCATGGCAAGTGTCCTTCCAGACTCGTAGTGGATTCCATTTCTGCGGAGGCTCCATCAAGGACTCAACCCATATCATCACCGCTGCCCATTGCTGCGATGGCCAGTCTGCCAGCAACCTCAGGGTATGATTATGATCCACAGCCGGCCCTATGTGTTTTGTCTCTTTGATTATGCAGCATATGCATTGCTTGTAGCACATGTCTGCCGTTTAACCTATTAGGTGAGAGCCGGCAGCAACCGCAAAGACCAGGGGGGAACCACTAGCAACGTTGCCTCCATCAGGATGCATGGGAGCTACAATCCGTGAGTGAATTCCCTAAATGTTACTACTCCTATTACTGGCATTTTCATGTTTTCATTCGAGCATTCAACTTGTACTTAATTACTTAATGCGATGTGATCTGTTTATGAACACTCCGTTTCATATGCTCTGAAGAGTTAATATGACGTGAACAACATACCCAGGTAGCACATAACATTGATTCAACGTTGATTTGGTGTGGATCGAATGCTTCACTGTTGAAGGTTTATACTTCTATGTTGAATCAACATTGATTCAACGCGGTGACCATCACCGTTTATACACCCACATTGACTCAACGTTGAATCAATGATGCACTATTTACGGTGGAAGTTTCGACATTAAATCAACCTCGATTCAATGGATTCTTTCACGGTAAAAAAAAAATTCCTTGTTTTTTATCTACCGTTTGGATTTTTTGTGTGCACTTCATCATAGTTCGTTGAGCAGTTTAGTCAATCGCCCAGAATACATTACGATCACCGAAAAATTCTTGATTTAGGGCAAATATGAGGGTGGCTGAAATTACGCCTGGCCTAAAGTCTATCGCAGCAAACAAGCAAAAAGAAAAAGAAATTCTCCCGAGCATCTCACATGATGGAATTGTCTCAATACAAACGTAAAATTAGAAAAAGGAGATTCAATAAAAATCATATATCTATATACTTTTAAAGCCAATTAATCTATTGACTTGGACATGTTCATATCTAGGCATTTACCTTACTAATGAACGAAAGTGCTTTTGTGAGGCTGGATCGGTGTGACCCATCTCTATATATATAATGAAGAAAGTTTGTCTGTCTGTTCCTTTATGCATTCGGACCCCGCAGGGGCCAGTGCAACCAAACTTTGCATGGCCTCCTCTTTCACCCAGGGAAGATCGAGGGCTATGTTTCCATCCAAAATTTTCACTCCCGGGGTACTTTTCTGGTGGGTCTGTATAGTCTAAGATGGCAGATTCGGTGGTGCAGTGGTAGCATACCTGACTGATAATGAAGGGGCCCGGGTTCGGTTCCTGGCCATCCTAGCTTTTTTTTTTGTCCTCTCATGTCATCCAACTCTCCCCTCCCGGCCACCTGCATTACAGTATCCAGGTGTAATCCCATTTCTGGATCACTACAGTAGGTAGTAAGTAATATTATTTTGATCAAGTTTTCATCGAAAATATGATATATTTCAAAACGATAAAAGCATTTTACCAATACGTTTTTTTTCCCTTAAAAATAATTTAGAAATTATTCAAAGCGTACAAAAAAATTTTTTTTTAAGGGAAAGGGGTCCGAGCGCATTTTGCGACACCCAAGATCGGTAACTTATAGGAGACCATAAGGCTTACGTTCCCCAATTTGTCATGCATGAAATATTGACATTCCCTGGGCAACGCCGGATACTTCAGCTAGTCCTATATATTAAAAACACAATGAAGCTGCGTTCGTGCGTATGAAGCCTCCGATGCTTGGGTCTGAGTGCATGTCCGCAAGTCCATGTGCGCATGTGCGCCGCTTTCTGCCTGCCTCGGGTTTACGTCTCCCTCTCACGGAGGAGCACTTTTTTTTTCCGGACCTTGCAACTGTCGGATCCATTCTCGAGAACGTAATAGCCCGAGGCGGGTGGGGGAAGAGTTCGGGTAGCATAAGAAGACTAAAAACAAAATGATGCAATTCGAACCCTAGACTTCCTGATTACAAAGCAAACGTGTTATTACTACGCCACGAAACTCCAGTCTGACTCTATTCCTTTCCATGTCATCCTTAACATTACAACGGGAGAGAGGCATTCTACGAACCACGCTCGCATTCAAACGCGTATTCTGTCGCATGTCCGACTTCTTCATTAGATGAAATAAATTATTTCCCCCCCCCCCCCAAAAAAAAAGTTAAAAAATGGTTTTGCAGGCAACGTTGCAATGGGCAGTCTAGTAACCCTGGACTTCAAACCTTAGTTTCCTAGGGGTGGGGCACCTGGACGATGGAGTTTAGTGGCCCTGTGAAATCGAAAATATGTTTCAAAATGATAAAAGCATTTTACCAATAAGTTTTTTTCCCCTTAAAAATAATTTAGAAATTATTCAAAGCGTGCAAAAAAAATTTTAAAAGGGAAAGGGGTCCGAGCGCATTTTGCGACACCCAAGATCGGTAACTTATAGGAGACCATAAGGCTTACGTTCTCCAATTTGTCATGCATTAAATATTGAATTTCCCCGGGCAACGCCGGGTACTTCAGCTAGTCCTATATATTAAAAACACAATGAAGCTGTGTTCGTGCATATGAAGCCTCCAATGCTTGGGGTCTGAGTGCATGTCCGTAAGTCCATGTGCGCATTTGCGTCGCTTTCTGCCTGCCTCGGGTGTACGTCTCCCTCTCGCGGTGGAGCACTTTTTTTCCGGACCTTGCGACAGTCGGATCCATTCTCGAGAACGTAATAGCCCGAGGGTGGGGGAAGAGTTCGGGTAGCATAAGAAGACTAAAAACAAAATGATGCGATTCGAACCCTAGACTTCTTGATTACGAAGCAACCGTGTTATCAATACGCCACGAAACTCCAGTCTGTCTTTATTTCTTTCCATGTCATCCCTAACATTACAACGGGAGAGGGGCATTCTACGAACCACGCTCGCATTCAAACCCGTATTCTGTTCCATGTCCGACTTCTTGATTAGATTAAATAAATTATTTTTTCCCCAAAAAAAAATAGTTAAAAAATGGTTTTGCAAGCAACGTTGCAATGGGCAGTCTAGTAACTCTGAACTTCAAACCTTAGATTCCAAGGGGTTGGGCACCTGGACGATGGAGTTTAGTGGCCCTGTGACTGTTAGATCACAAGGGCCACCTAGGTGACACAAAGCAGGAGTTCGAAATCTGAACAAATCTGGCATTTTCATCCCCGATATAGACACCGACGTGTTTGGAATGAGGCGTTGAATCATTGTTGACTGGGTATGGATTGAATGTATCACTGTTGTTACATCCATGTTACTTCAACATTGATTCAACGCGGTGA